TCTCTCTCTCTCTCTCTCTCTCTCTCTCTCTCTCTCTCTCTCTCTCTGCAATCACACATAAATACCAAATCTTTCACATTTTCTAATCTTCAATAGAGATGAAATGTTTATGCTAATTCTTTTTTTTTAAATTCGAGGACGAATAACAACATATATTTTCTCCATAATTAAGTTATATATATATATATATATATATCATTTCTAAATGTTTTCAATTCATATATTATATTTAATTAACGTGATTCTAATTTTACACTACTCATATGAATTGAGATCTGTTTAAAGAAAAAAAAAGTGTGATAGTTTTTAAAGGACATGGTTAGCACATTCAGCCCGATGTGACCCACCGTTAGATCACACTATATTTTAAGAAGAAACAGTATAGAAAACCGCTTCGTTTTGCCTTTTCCTTAGGCAGAAGGTTACACATAATGTGTCACATGCTCTGTCTTCAGTGTTTTTTGAGTCTTTTATTCCATAGCATAATGCTTCTCGTTGAAACAATCAAGATATACGTATCTCAATGTCATAAAGAAGGTTTTACAATACAAAAAAAGGAAATAGACGAATAGAATTAGTAAGAGAGCTAGTGAACTAGTGAATGTAGTAGCGAATGACTGCAAGAAGAGAAGCACCGACACATACATATATAAGCATGTTGGACAATACCAAGTATGATGTAAACGAGTATATTAATAGGAAAAGTCCAATATAGAACATGTGATAACATACTGAGAAAAATCAAATATGTCATGTTGGTAAAAACCAGTATGTAATGCATAGATATAACTGTTCATGTGATATATCAATCAGAAAAGAGAAAGCAACGAACCAGCATAGAATGAAAAGGACAACGAGTGCACATAAAAATGAATCTGCTAGAGCTATCTGTAATAAAATTGAATCGGGTTGCATGTGTTAAATACCTACGATCTCTTTCTCTCTCAGTAAACTGATGCTATTTTGTTAAAAAATAGTCGAGTGTGAATACATGGAAAACCTGTTACATTTCTTGAGAAAATTTTTTTCTCGCATTTGTTCAAGAGAATTAAGCAGGAAATGAACAAAAAAAAAACAGCTTCAGCCGATAAAATTGATCTATTAATATTTATAATGTGTAAGATTCAGCCTGTTGTCCAGGAAATATGTAGCTATTATCGGAATTTTTAAAGAAGGTAGCTAGAAAAAAAAGCGTATAACTTTTGAATGAAAAGTCGGAACGACCTGAGGTTTTCACCATTCAATAGACGATAGCGTCAAGCAGGGTGTTGGTATGGTTCAAGAAACGACTCCCACACCCACATCCTACTAAAATTAGTCTGGAAAAGTACTTTGTGAAAACACCTCCCTTCACACACATAGAGCTGTGCCCAATGCTGTCGTCTATTGAATGATAAAAAACCGCAGGTTGCTACGACTTTTTGTTCAAAAGTTATAAGCTTTTATTTTCAGCTGCCTTCTTTGAACATTCCGATAATAGAATGCATCACCTGAATATAAGATTTTGAGCTCATATTATGCAAATAACTAGGAGACCGTTACACTAGCACAATCTCTAATGAGTTCTTTTTTCCTTATTGAGTTTTCATCGAGATGTCAAGTTGACATGATACAGGATCCTGTTGAAAAAAAAAGCACTTTTAGATTAAAAATACGAAACAGTATTATGTCTTGAAAATTTAATACGTTGATGGAAATTCAATGAAAAAAGAACTTATTGTACGTTGTGATAGTGTAGTGGTTTTCTAGTTAATTGCAGAATATGAACTTAAAATCTTGTAATCAAAGGTGATGGATCCTAGTCATATATTTCCTCGACAACAAGCTGAATCGTAAACCTTATAGATATTGATGGGTTTATTTTTCTCGGTCGAAACTATTTTCTGTTAATTTCCAAATGAAAATAAACTTGTAAAAATAATTAATTATTTTTTCTACAGTTCATTATAAAATCAGATGAAGTAACGCCCGTAGATCTAGGATGAAAATCGATTAATAGTAATACTTATTACAAAGCACATGAATATTTGGTACGTGCCGCACTACGGAATTCCTCATGTCACATTCGATAGGCGTGCATTACCGTAGAACAAGCGCCGTCATACTTTGTACGCATGATGATACCTCTATGGTCATCACGCAGACGACGACGTATCTCTGGACGTGGAAACCTAATCACTGAATTCCTGCTTCTAAGCTTCTCCGCCAGAACTGATTTTATCTCAAAAATATAGATATTTCTTTTCCGTCAAAGAGCACCCTCTTTCGTTAATAATCCTATCGGTGACTGCTTTCAAACCAATATTGATTAATTGCTTAATATGTCGTCATCTTCAATTTTTATGTTTCAATATTTTGCAACGTTTTTTTTTGTCAAATAAATTAACTGTAAAAAAATAAAGAATTTCATTCATCTAGATATGGACTATTCGAACCGAATATTATGTGGCCCTATGGTAAGAATATCCAGTCTTCCATTCCGACTTTTAGCACTTGAATATGGTGCTGATGTTGTTTTTTCTGAGGAATTAATTGATTATCGTCTTATACAATGTGTTCGAATCGAAAATGGTATTTAACTATTATTATTATTATTTTTTATTCATTTTCATGTTTATTTTTTTTTGTAATTTAGATTTATTAAATACCATTGATTTTGTAGTACCGGGTGAAGATCGACCGATGTTACAAATACATAAAAATCAAGAAAAAGATCGTCTTATTGTTCAATTGGGTACAGCCGATGGTCAACGAGCTTTAAATGCTGCTCGACTTGTAGAAAATGATGTTGCAGGAATTGATATAAATATGGGTTGTCCAAAAAAATTTTCTATTCAAGGTGGAATGGGTTCAGCATTACTTGATCATCCAGATAAAGTCAAACAAGTACAAGCAAAAAATGACTATTTTCTTTTCTTCTAAGAAATTAATTTATAAATTTTTTTTTTAGATACTCGAAACTTTAGTTAACAATTTATCAATACCTGTTTCATGTAAAATTCGTTGTTTACCAACTATAGGTAAATAAAATAATATTTATTTTAATCCAAAATCATATATTCATAGATAGAAGCGACATTGTCACTTATACGTATAATTGCAACAACGGGTGTACATGCAATAACTATACATGGTCGCACACGAGATGAACGTAATAATGATCAATGTCGAGAAACATTTATTCAAACAATTGTTCAACAGTGCCCATCAAATGTTGTTATTATTGCAAAGTAAGATTTAATCGATGCAATTAGAATAAGTGATTCTAGCAATATCTCTGCCGTAGTCTTATCGTTTCGAACTGCAAGTTTTTTTTTTCTTCTCCAAACGATGTTGCATGAGATTATCTACGAAACCATTAGTTGAAAAGATAGAAGTCAAAACTTTAATAGAATTAAAACTAAATTAGTGGCGACTAGGGAGCTGCGAATTCACGTTTTTATAGACTTGGATCCGAGTCCAAATCCGAGGTTTTTTCTATTAATACCTGGTACCCTTCGTGTACATGAAGAAGTAAAAGATCAAGGTTTTAGCTATTTATTCGCTATTCTCAGAAAAGAACCTTAACGTACAATTATATCTTATTGCTGTATTGCTCATCTGAGGAGCAGGGGTCCATATAGACGTGTAATCAGGCCCGACAAAAAATAAAAGATCGAACTCGGACTGGCAGCTCTTCAGTGGTGACGCCACAGAAGACCTGATGAGTGAAATGCCTCAAGTGATTAATCGATTTTGTGTCTGGAATATGTGCATCATTGCAGTACTTTTTAAAGTCAATGCTTTGGTTCCCCTCAGGAACAGTCATTTAGTGCACACTATCACCAATGTTCATTGGAACAGAGCTTCAGTGGACTCGATATCGGTAACTTACTGTTCAGTATTTATACCAACACTACATATCCCTCGAGAAAGGTTACAAGAGAAAATTTGGTCAATGTAAGCTTCTATATCTCACAGTAATTGTTGAAAAATATTTTGAGTTTTATTTATTCTGTTGCAACTGCTAAAATAATTTTTTTTTTGTTCAGTGGAGGATCAACAAACATTTCATCATATTCAGATATTGAAAAATTTCGATCTCGGTGTGGTCCAGCTCATGGTGTTATGTTATGTCAAGCTGCTATGTGGAATCCAAGTATATTTCGATCGAATGGTCTATTACCACTTCAAGATGTTGCAAAACGTTTTCTTCAAATCGTATTATCTTATTTCTTATCTTGTTTTCTTCATTTGATAAATATTTCTTCTAGAGTCTTGAATATGATAATATGCTTCCCAATATAAAATATGTTCTTCAACG